CACAAAAGTACTCACGCAAAAGTGCATTCGCAAAAAGGATCATGAAAACACAAACTACAATCCTAGGACATTAATACAAATCAACAAACATGCACAGACACGCTCCCTCAAATGGACATGCACAAAAACGTACATGTAAAAAAATCTGCGCAAAAGTGCATCCGCAACAACATTCTTAAAAACACGAACTACAATACTATGACTTTTATATGCATCAACAGACAACAGCAAAAACACTAGATAAAAAAGATACAATGGAGTGTAGCAATAATACTCGACGTTTACGTTTACGTGGATTTTTGTTTGGATTAATTTATATTTCTGTTTTTATTGGTGGATTTTGTATCTTTTAGGTCGCCCGGGAGAGACACGGTGTCCATGAAGCAAAAATAATCAAAGGGTAAGAAAAGAGTTGCAATTAAGAAAATAAAATAAAATTAGAAGAGAGAATCCCTCAACATCTTTGGTAGTGTCCACGAAGTCGAGCATAACTCTCTCATCCGGACTCCAAATCGACTGGTTCCGGTGGCATTAGAAAGCTATTTCAGTGGGCTACAATTCCCGTCTAACGTCAAAATTCCAAATTCGGACTCGAACATGGTCAAAATTGGATAACAAAAGCGATCATGAAAATACGTACTACAATTCAAGGACGTGAATGCGCATCAAGAAACGTGCACAACAACACTCGCTAGAAAAGATACGCACATGAGTAAAAGTTCAAAAGCATGCACAAAAGTACTCACGCAAAAGTGCATTCGCAAAAAGGATCATGAAAACACAAACTACAACCCTAGGACATTAATACAAATCAACAAACATGCACAAACACGCTCCTTCAAATGGACATGCACAAAAACGTACATGTAAAAAAACATGCGCAAAAGTGCATCCGCAACAACATTCTTAAAAACACGAACTACAATACTATGACTTTAATACGCATCAACAGACAACAGCAAAAACACTAGATAAAAAAGATACAATCGAGTGTAGCAATAATACTCGACGTTTACGTTTTCGTGGCTTTTTGTTTGGATTAATT